CCTTAGTTCGAAACGTTAGTACATTTTGTCTGTCTATGTTAACTTTATATTAAAGTTTTTACTTTCATTTACCCATTTAAGCCGTCTCCAGCCATTATTTTATTCCTAGTTTTCGAATTTTTCTGACATATATTCACTTGTTGAAATTATGTACATTGTCTTGTAAATTTGTTTTCTTGTATAGTATAATATTTAATTATTGATTGTTTGGTAACCTCAAAGGGAGAGGAATATTTACAAAATACGAGTTTCCAATCACATGGAATTCTTGGTGTTTTTAACTAAGTAATATTATTATAAACAATTGTTACTAGATATCTTAAAAATTTTTAAAGAATGGCTAATTTTTGTGTACATTAATAATTTAAACAACCAAAGTAACAATACATTATTCAGGGTTTATACAATGTGTTGGAACTCCTTAATATTAAGCAAGAGAAATTACTTTGTTATTGAGTAAATTAAGCAAAGAACTGCAATGTTTACTGGGTGAAAATAAATATAAATGTATGTCTCTATACTATGTTATTTTCTGTTTTGGGACATTTGTAGGGTAACATTCCAGGGTTCCTTGCCTCTTCTACTACTATTACTTTACAATGACCAGTTACAGTTAAATATATCATCATCAAGTTCCCGTGAAGTAATGAAACTCGTATTAATACCTGAAGTGAACTATAGATACATTAACGTTTACTTAACCAGAAAGAGAAGAGATTGTTAAGCATGATTTTATGTGGTACAGTGTTACTTGTAGGGAGTTTTCACAAGTATGCTTAATATAAATAACTTTTTGCAGTATATTGAGATAATTAACTATCCACATGTTGTTGAATTTCTGTTTTAAACTTAGTTTACAAAAAATAAATTTCTGTATCAAAAGTCTTAAGTTTTGACCAATTTTTAACAAGTGCAAAAAGGTATAGTATTCTTGTGAGTGAGCTACTTGTTCTCTATATACTTTCAAATGTAGTAATCTTCATCGTGGTTCACATTGTAGCAACTAATGCTTGATTTGAATTTACCCTATACGGTGTTGAAAAACTAAAATTTCTAAGCAGAATTTAACAAGTCCAGTCTCATACTTATGTAGCATTTGACATAATTCAAATATTCACATCAAACCAGAACTTAAAGACATGAATGAACGGGTACATGTAGTTTCCAGAGTTGTTAAATTAAATACTCTGAAGTATACAAATAGAATTTCTGTTTTTGTCTTATTCATCACTCAGTTTATGCTTTTCTTTAACATATCAACACAAGAGTATGCAAGGTTTCCTTTCACAATACTTCAAACAAAACTTAATACACTATGCAAGAACTTGTCTTGGAAACACCTTACTGTATTAACTTCAGATTAGAGCAAGCTCTTTGATTAGAGCAAAACCCAAAGCCAACCTGGTATTGGTAATTACTATAGCTAATGAAATATACTTTCCTTACATTCTTATTTATAAAGATTGGAATGCATTATTCCATCTCTTGGGTACAGTAGCAGTTATCAGTATTTTTGGATGTAATTATGATGACTCACATATGTATAGTGTTATGTTGCTTTGTTACATTTGTATGGAATGTTGTTCAGTTAAATGCTCAGAACTTTTATGATTTAATCAACTAAAATAAGACCTGGCATATATCAATACTTGTTACCCAGCATGTGTGATTATGATCTCTTCTTTACCGACTGTTGTGATTTGTGAAAAGATCTAAAGAGCCTAAAATAGAATGGAATAATGTAAGAAACCAAACTGATATTGCAATAATACTCAAATTATTTCAATTTTAATTAAATTATAAACATTCACATGTAAATAAAGCTCCCTTGCTCTGGACACATCTTGTAATCTGGAAGTCCTAAAGTACATAAACTTAATTACAGTAGGAAGGGGGCTTAATTTATCTCTAAAAGATTGTAAGTGCCCTCACTGGGGGGTTCAAATCATTAGTTACCAATGAAAAAATCTAGCACAAAGTGCTAGGAAGCTCAACCCTCTCATGGAGTTTGTGTAATCATACATATAACCTGCCTGTAGACTTTCTGTGAAAAAATTATTATTGCTATTTTTGCCAAGTTTTTTATGTAATGTTTTTTAGATACTAACAATTGTGTGTGTAATTCCAAATATTTTTAAGGTTGTTGTATACAAATCAGTAATTTGTTGCTTGAAAAGAAGTAAAAATAAAAACAAATCAAAGTATATTTGATGTCTTCAGTTCACTTATTGAAGTGTCATAAATTTATTTCTGGTATGTGTGCGGTAATTTCTGTGTTTATATTTCCTCACCTCATATTTGAATCCAAGACCTGTCACATGCCAGGTGAGTGTTTTACCAACTAAACTAAATGATTAACCCCTTTATGCTTGCTAGTAAGTCACTTTTTAATATCTCAAACTACTACAATTCTTCCCCTCACAAACAAGACCTGTCCTAGGGCATTGTTTCAGGGTAACGGGATGTCCCACATTTGACACCAATGTGGTAATTTTTATCTTTTCACAATACTTGTATTTGAACATGCAAGGTGAGTGCTCTACCATCTAAACTAAAAGGTTAACCCCTAGCATTTACTAGTAAGTCACATTTGAACATCTCAAACTACTGCACATGGATGCACTTCTAAAGCTTGCAGATTTTATATGCAACTGAAAGTTCACCTTACATTTCCAGATGTTATTAAAAGACATCATTACAGAAACATGAAAAATATTGAAAGAGGAGGATACTCATTTACTTAAAAAAATATGCATATCAGGCAGTCACTCAGTGGTTTTATTTATCAACAAAAAAATTATAAAGTCAAGAGTATTTCTTCTCTGTTTAATAAGTAAAAATTTGACACTATTTTGTGATTGTGGTAGTGAAAATATTTTACTGAATGAAAATACACAACATGTGAAAAATATCAGTCTTACAGTCCAATAACAAAGATTATTGATCTTTGATCAGCATGAAAGTTTGATAATATAGTTTGATCCCCTGCCCTGTAACATACAAATCCTAAAACTAATTACTTCAAATTAAAACGTTTGGGTTTGTAGTTATTTTTGTAGCATTTTTATAACAACCCATAGTTTCATACCTCTTGGTGATTTTGGTTGTTATAAATAATCATTATTGATATTAGATGTTGTTATGTTTGTGTTACAGGCATTTGGAATACAAAGAGAAGAAAAAGGAAAAGAAGAAAGGCCTATTTTAACTGTGTGTCCCAAAAACATATACGTTCTTTTATCTAGTAAGACCAAATCTACCATTTTGTCCCATACTACTTTCATTTCATCCAGATAATGCTTATCTTAGGCATTTCCCCCTCCATTCCTGTCATCTTCAGGACCTAAACGTTGCATGCCTGAAGCTAACCTTTGTTGTGAAGCAGTGCATATAAACACAGCCTGGGTGTGTCTGTACTTTTTTTTAAGAAGCCTTAATACTGTTTTAACTTTAGGGTTATTTCCTACTATCCATGCCTTTTGATATTGTATTATTTTTCAGTTTAGATGCTAATATTTATGTCCTTTTTTTTTTTTTTTGTAAACTACCTTAAGTTACCATTTTGCAGTTTTACAAAAATGGGGTACAATAAACTATTTTTAACAAATCACTACAGATCAATATTTTTATAAGAATAAATACCACTCTTACACATTTTAAAAGTTATGTAGATAAACAGATAGTTATTGCTAAGTATACGAGTTTTACATACACAACATTCACTTCCTATTAAGAAAAAGTTGACTGGAGCTTGAGAGAGAGAGAGAATTCGCATGAAGTCATGCATCTTCTGCAGGAAGTTGTTCTCAAGTGAAGGTATAATGGGTTTTTTAATTTATTTTCTTGTAGTAGAGAAAATTTTCTAACAGTTTTAACCTTCTAATCAAATGTACTATAACTGTGCATAGTTGCATGAAATCCTGTATTTAAGTAATAAACATGGTTATAATTAGTTTTTTTACAAGCTATGAATAAATTTTGAAAAAATTCAGTTTTCTACTTATCTTTCAAGAAATGACTAGAGCAGTTCCTAAAAAAATTTATTTAGCCTAAGGTTGTGGAGGTCAGGCTAAAGATTTACCTTTGCTATTTGTATTTGATTAGAATTATATATTCAAAACAATAAGTTATGGAGAAGCTAGTGTTGTTAGTTTCAGTGTAACATAAATCAAAACTGTATCCTAAACACTACAAACAAGAGTTGGAAGTTTCAATTGAATGATGTGATATTTATTTTTATTAAAGTAATCAAGGGAACAATATGTTAGCGACTGATATGATACACATGTTTTAGTATATATAGATAAAATCCTCCATATCCTAATCTGATTACTCAAAGAAAAATAGTTTATCATCAAAAACTCTTATTTATTATAGTTCATCCTACATCAAAACTCTTCATATCATTACTACAGTCCAGTGACTAAAGTAAAAAAACAGTACCCAAGTATATTACTTGGTAAAAAAAATTTTCTGAAACTGTTACCATCTTTTCAAATGTTAACAAGACTTGTGAATTTACAGTTGTATGTAGTGTTTCATGTGAAGGGATTTTTATGTACCAATGTTTGTTACTGTTTTATAAATTGCCTCATTTGTATGTATTTTTGATACGTCCTCCACGTTTTATTTAAAGTCAAAGGAAAATAAATGTTTTTTTTCGTTATAATCTTTAAATTTTATAATATTTTGAGGTAGAAGATTAAAAACCCTCAGCCACTTGTCAATACATAGAATTTCTTATAATATTAAATATCTAAATTGAACCAGTAGTTGTACGAGGAGAATCATAGTACATTACCTTCTTCATTGATGTGGAAAACATACTGTAGTGTAATGAGTTTTGGAAAAATATTCATCATGTAAAGGAAAATGTAAAAATGAAGCACACACAGGAGGAAATATAATTACAATCAAAGTTATGTATACATAACTTCTGGTTATAATGCAATACAGTTGGACATGGGTTCCTCCTATGTCTTCCTTGATATAGTGCACTGAATTATGACGTGCAAATTATTTTCAAAATGCATAGCAATAAAATATGTACAAATTACTTTTAAGTAATTGTCTTTTTTTTTCTTTTTACTTTCAGTGTTTTGATACTGTGGGATATATAAAAATTTGTAGTATGTATTTAGTGTAACTGTAATGTAATACTTCTTACCATGTAACATTGTACAACTTCCTTTTTATAATTCTTATTTAATGGAATAAATTTAGTATTGTCAATTTCATTGAAGCCTAGCTTTTTTGCAAGAAAGTACAGACAAGAGTTTTTATATTAGGGTGTGATACTTTACAAAGTAGTCAATGTGACTGATATATATACACACACACACACACACATATTGCTTTATTTGTTTGTTGTGGGGCACAAATCTACACAATGGGCTATCTGTGTTATGCCCACTCTGGGTATTGAAACAATATTTTAAGCCCTTACACACACACACCACTGAGCCAGTTGGGGGCATTTATTATTTAGTCAAAATAGAACTGAATTACAGGGCTATTATCATCACCCTTGTATTGAATCATATTTGTTCTCTTTTGTCTTTATGTACAAAATAATTTTGTATTGAAATTAGTGCTTTTTCCTTCCAAAAATATAAGCAAAAACACAGCTTCCAAATATTTTTTACTTGTAAGAAATAACTCAGAAATATGCATGACAATGTAATAACTATAAAGAACTTACACATACAAAAATATTAGACCAAAATTCTAGCAAGTTTTTTCAAGACATTACATAATTCAAACTTAAAAAAAAATATATCTTTTCTGATAATTTCACTTAATAGGCTTCCTTTTCTTCATGTAATGACTGAAAGCTGGTAGTATTTGGAACAACTATTTATAATTTTTTTTTATCAGTTAATGGGGTTAGTATAAAACCAAACCTTTAACACTGTTTTAATAATGATATCAGTATTTATCCATTTAATTTTTTAAAATAAAAACTATAGGTAGTTCAAAAAATATATCATGAGGAATTCAACGCAACAATACAAGTACTCGGTATCTGCAGAAAACTGAAAAAGTTTGGCTATGAAACTAGTTTTCAGAGACCAATAATATTTGCATCAGCACTTCTAAAGGAATTGAGATAACTAATATTTCATCATAAAACAAAGTAAAAGTTTCTACTGGAAATGAAAGTTCAAGACCAAGTTTGTTTAGTCCGCAGTAATATCATCAAGAGGAAACCCGTGGATTCATTTGTTTAATGCAATAATAAATAAATGATAGCCACAAAACAACATGATTAAGTCAGGGAAGCAAGAAATGTGAATTCAATTAAGTCTTAATCACACAATAACAGTCAGTTTTGAGTTAAGAAAAAATCAGTTATATATTCATTTACTTTAGTGTAATTAAGATTTTATTTTGCTAAGTGTCTTACTTTTTGATAAAGTTATAGTTTTTGTGCGGTTTTTGTAAAAGGTATTCTTCACAAAGGAAAAAATAAACCATTTCTTGCAGTGCTTACACATCATTTGATATTTTAGGTTAAAATGCATAGCCCTGAGCAAGGGTTAAAAAAATGGGGGCAAATTTCCTCATGCTCTTTTTAATTAGCGTAATGGTAAATGTTAGTTGATTAATACTGGAATATTGCAGTAAAAGCCAAATGCCAATTACCACAAGCAAAATAAATTAAGAAAAATCTATAAGAGACGTATATATACAGAAAACAAAAAAAAAAAAACTTTAGAAATAGGTCAATTTGACTTGCATTGAACCTTTCAAAAAGAAATTCTACGTGCAATAGAGAAAATTTTTGTCCCAAAGAAACAAAAATATGCTCCTCCCAAATAAATTTTAAGTGAAGTTGGAAGATATTTTTTCATAATTTTTGTTTGTAGTTAAGCACAAAGCTACAAAATGGGCTATCTGTGCTCTGTCTATCATGGGTATCGAAACCTGGTTTCTAGTATTGTAAGTCTGCAGCCATAGCACTGTAGGGCCATAATTTGGCCTTAACATCATGAGGAAATTTTATTTGTATCTTCTATACGAGTACATTTGTACAAGTAGAATAACTTTTATCTTCCTTATCAAAAGAAATTGTAGGTCCTTTGGAACAAAAATTTCCTCCTTTGATTTTAGCTCTAAATAAATTTCATCATACTCCTGTTCTAGAGTATAATATTCCTATGATAACTACTTCTTTCATTTAAAACAATGACCTATCTTATCAGTTTTTTTATTTCGTTTTTTGTATCTCTATGAATGTTTTTGTGTAGTTCTCTTTCAACTACATGGATTGTATAATGTTTAATGATAAGAAAAATTTATAATTATAGTTAAGGGATACATGTATTTTCCAGTCATTTTAGCTTTTAAAAATTGTATAATGTCAAATTTAAATCACCATTAAAAAATTGCTTAGTAGTTTCTGCATCTTAGTTGATTTTTTTATGTTTCAAGGCTGCCTTGGTAGTGTTTTATGACTTATCAACCAGGTAATTAATTTGTACTTTCCAGTCTTCTATTTCAAACATGTAATATGTGTCAGAAACTTAACAGAGCATGTAAAATTAAAAGAAAGCATTTCAAGATGACTCAACAAGATATACTCCAATCTTGTGCCTTCAAAAACCAAATATGTGACAAGCTACCTTGTTCAAAAGTGCATGAAGTTGGTAAATGATGATTTTTAGACTAATTAGTAATATCTACAAAAAGTAGCTGGTAAAAAAAAAAAGTATTTGATCTGTCAAAATATCAAAAAGACTTAATTATGAATTAAGAAAAGAGTGACTAAATTGGTTTGCACTTTGAAATGGAGAACCACTGAACATTTCTAATAACCTACTATTGTACCACTGTTAAGATTAACACAAGGAAACACAAGTCTGACAGACAACGTAGAATATACATTACCTAAAATGTAAGGCACAATAGATTTTACATACATCATCCATATTGTTAGGTTAATCTTGTTAATATGGACATTTGGTTCAAAAGAAGCAATAAGTATGAGCTATGGTGAAAGCAGTTGCATCTCCAGCATTATTTTACACACTTCAAAAACTTCCACCTGTTATTCTCTCATTAATACTCAAATTTCAGCTACCGTACACAAAATGCACAAGTTTCAAAGCTTTGATGTTATATAATCCTCATCAGTACAATCAAAATTTTTTAATATTCTAAAGAACATTTAATAATTTTATGTTTCTTTACCACTGAATAATGTATTGTGTTCAGAATATTACAAATGCTCTTTACAAGCTTTAAAGCCTAAATAAGTTGCTACAGTCATGAATAGTCTGGTGGTTTATCTTAATTTTTTCTTAACATCAGTAACAGATTGTAGAGTTCAGTTATAATTTATCACATTATTTTAAATGACACTTGAAAGATGAATGAAGATATTAATGTATCCAAATTTTTGAGGAATCTGACAGTCACAATACCTTACAATGAACATAAATTCAATCTCGATAAACTATAAATGAAATGAAGTGTACACACACAACAGAAAAAACTAACATTTAATGATGTTTAGCATTAAAATTTGTTTTTTCTAAAAAAAAACTGATATTCCATAACCAGAAATTTTCTAGTGCACTTTCAGATACATGCTCATATAATCCAAGTCATTAACTCTTTGATACAAACAACAGATTCTACATATGTAAAAGATAACATTTATCAATAAAATTTTTCCTTGGCTTTCTACAATTAATGAACAAATACAAAGTATAAATGTCAGTGATATAAAACTCTAAGTCACTTTGATAATTTTACAGGATTATGATAATAAAGACTAATAAATGGTAATTGGTTAAATTTTTGAAAATCACAGTTACACAACTAAGGATTCCTGGATAATTCTCATCCATCAACTGTATCTTCTGGTTTTATAAGAACTCTACATGTGTGTGTGTTATTGAGTTTCTATACATACTATTCTATTAATATCACAATGTGCCTGATGACATTTACATTTGTTCCATTATTGGGCGATTACATTTGTATTTTAATAAAGTACACGAAAATTGCATTTTTCATCCATTTTTTCAAATCAGAAATTCTTTTATTTCTATAATTCTATTAAATTGACAAGTTGCAGTATTGTAGATCTAGGCGAGTTAAGCACATTAAAACTTTGAACAAGCCCGATCTTTTCTTTATCAAAAATTTGTGTCATCCTTCAGTTGAAAAAAAGTTTTGAAAATTACACTGACCTTGAAAAATAAAAAGTAAAATCTCTTTCCTGAAATAAAAAAAATGCAAACAGAAGATTTTCAAGTAATAATAAAATAGTCTTTTTCCAAAGGTTGATGCTATTCTTTAATTTGTATTTTAAACTGTAACCAAACACTGTAAACAAGCACTTCTCCTTGTTGATCAAGAGATTGGCAGTTTTGTGTTTGTGAAAATTAAACTGATTAATCTATCATCTCAGGGGTAACCTTTCAAATGTGAAACAAAAACACAATTTTTGTACTAGCTTTAAGGCCTTTTTTTTAAACAATTATTTCCAAATAATCAGATTAATCAATTAGACATATTCATAATTTGATATTAACCAACTTAAGATTGGTGCTATAACTGTACTGTATGTTAATGAAATGCACCATTATAGAAAATCTGAAACAGAGAAATACCTTCAAAGTATTAGTAGCTATGACAAATGAAATCATGATCTTAAACCAATGATGCACCTCTGAAGGCACTTGATCAACTTTGTATGTTGAAGAGGACACTACTTCTGAGACTATATCTTTCCACAATAAAACGACAGGGCCTTACTACTAGATCAACAAGAAATATGTATTCCACTACTCTCCAAAGACCTATAATTGTATCTGAGAGTGGGTTTTAACTATAAATATTTTTCTTTGATTTAACTACAGTGACAACCAGTTTTATCACTCACTTCAAAAGGTCTAAACATGTATTTCACTTATACATCCATGTGAATATAAAAAAAATTAACACCTATTACAAAGACTTGTTCACCTTTTCACTTATCCTAAGCTTCCCATAAAACTTAGAACTTTTAATTCTTTTTTCTGTTATGGTATTTCATTATGTAGACTAGCTTTCTAATACTTCTAAAATCTAATATTTTCAATTTTGTTTGTGAAATCAACCACCGCTTTCAAACATTACTTTAAATACACATTTTACGTTGTTGTTTTTTAACTTTCATGTGCCCTGAATTATTTTGTTGTTTTTACCTTACTTATCCCTCACACTTGGCATTCCACAAAATTTATGGAACCCATAGCATAGATCTCATTTGTCTGACTGTAATTATGTGCCTGCAGTGTTTCTCTTGATAGCTCCAATATGAGCAGAATAAACATGAGTTTGAAACTGTCCATAAAAGTTGAAATTTGCTGAACACACTGTACACTTGTAAGAGAGATTTGCTGGTTTCAGTTTTATTTTATGCTTTTGACTCATATGCATTAATAATTGGCTAAAGTAAACACGGCCACAGATGGTGCATGTACCTCCATCTTCTTTCTTCTTTGCTAATTCTTGCATATTTGTCGTGACTAATCCATGAGCTCCCAGAAGGTGACGCTCAAGTCCTTGATCTGTAAAGAACTTCCACTGACACTTTTGACAATTCAGAGGAGGTCGATTTTGAAGGATCTTTGGTTGGATTTCTACTTTATGAATCAAATACATGTGTGTTCGTAAATGCCCTAATTGTTTCACATATCCATCACATATTTCACAAATCACAAATGTATTGTTTAGACTAGGAACTATCTCACTGTTTGCTTGTTTACCAGAATTTTGCTTCGTCATCTCAGTAGAATGTGGTCCTTGAAGCCTTGTTGGGACTATATTTGGTGAGTTTGTTTTTTCTGAAATAAGACCAGTCCTTGATGGATTTGTAGTAGTCTTATCTACAACCAGTCTAGTACCACTTGAATTAGACACCAAAGTATACTGGGGAGCATACGAGCCAGAGGAACTGCTGCTACCACTTTCCACAGGAATAATTTTTCCAGTACCACTTATTAATTGATAGATTTGATTGGCAGGAAAGGGGATGTGAACTGATGGAGAAATCTCTGAACTTGCATCTGTACCACTGTTACAAGATGTACTTGGATTATCAAAACTACATGTAAGTGGTCCAATATTATTAAACTGGTAAGGTTTCAGGTAAGAATTATTCGACATAGGGTGCCAGGTACCTATAGGTCTGACACGTTGTTGGTACAAATCACCATGACCAGCAGCAGCAAAACAAACATCTTGTGGCCTGTCAACTGGTTTCTGGAAAGGTACAGAACAACATTTCTGGTTACATGGTGGGACTGTCTTAAGACTTCGTGATATGCCAGAATAATGGGTTGATTCTTTTCTACATGATAAAAGATACTCTTCATAGTCTTTGATATCATTCATAGTTGTCAGCATTGAAGACTTTGCAGGAGTATCTTGGACAGATAAGTAATTTCCATCATGTTGTTTCTGACATTTGTTTAAATGGCGTTTAAAAATTTTTTTGTTATTTGTTTCAAATGAACATTGTGTGCAGAAATAAATACATGAAGAGCATTCTAGCTTTCCTTTTCTGTTATGCAGTGCTTCTATATGAAATAAGAGAGCTTTGGGGTCTTTTGTGCAGAAGCCACAAAAATGACATTTATATTCTTTGCGTAATAATGAATCCACTGTTGTGCAATGTTCTTCTAAGGCATGTACAGATTCTGTTTTGAAATCACAAAACTCACATTTCTTTAGAGGGAACACAAATGGTTCGTTAGCACTACTGGCTTCTTTGAGCATTTTCACACATAGCTCAAGATCTTTTGCAATCTTTTTCACCATTCCTTTCTTCTTGATTCGTCTTTTTTTGTACCTTATTTGGTCTTTCAGACACCACTCTTGAGCTTGGCTTAAGCCTATGCCCAACAAAAACCTACACGAAGTACTACTTGAGAAATCTACTGGAGAGTCTTTTTTGGTGAATCTTTCAATTAACTGATAATCATTTTCATCCTCCTTATCATTTCCATTCCAAGATGCACAATCTGACATTTCAGAAGGATACTTTTTTGTAGGAAACTTGTCTGCTTTTTTCATTAAGAGTGGAGTAACCATTGAAGGACATTGCAGTAAGGCTTCATTTTCACGTAGTTTAAAATTCTTTTGCTTAGGTAGTCGTATTGGAATGTATTTTCCAATAACTACCTTGTCTTGAAAAGCTGCTGGAAATCCAGCCTTTCTTATCATTTCACTGAATATCTCATCAGTAAGTGAATTTTCATAACATGTATCAATATATGAACATTCTTGATCTAAGGTATTTGCTAACAAGTTGCCTTTTCCTTCAGAGCTTAAATGCAAAGAATCATTTGCACCAATTTTTGCAGATACAGAAATTTGATTACCTGAAACATCATTATTAGTGGGAAACTTCTCATGGGTGGTGATATCATCCCTCACCACAGTTTTATAATTTGTAGTTGTTTCTGTACCTTCATTTATTGTTTGTTTTTTATTTTCTTGGACTTCAGCATTACTTGGTAACTTTTTTGACAGAGCTACTCCTTGTGTTGGTAGTTTTAGCCCTTGTGAGAAATTACTGACATATTTTTTTCCATTTGACTGGATGTGCTCTCTGATTTGATATCCATCCTCAAAAGAAATGGACTGGATATTTTGACAAGTTAAAATATTAGATCTTTCTGGATAAGAGCTATCAAAAAACTTTTCTTTACATTCATCTGAATCATTAACCAGATTAGGAGTTGTATTTTTAATATGGAAACTTTCCATAACTTTAGAAACTGTTTTTAGTTCACCTTGTTCATTATTATCCTTTAAATCACAACTACTGTTACACTTCTTGCTATTCTTAAAGGCTGTGGCTTTGCAATCTTCAGAATTTGAGTTCACAGATGTTTTTACAGTTTCAGTTGTCTTTGAGAAATCTTTTTGTAAGTAGGTAAAACTTTCAGGATTATTTCTTTTCAGTGTATTACTTGAAGTTGATGAAATTTGCCCTTCTTTCCCCATTACAGAAATATCTTGTTTGCTTATGGTATATGTACATGTCTGATCAAACTCTTTATTATGTTCAGATGGTTCTTCACATATATAGGAGTCTGTGCTCAAGTGTGAATCTGTTCCTACCACAGCAGTAACAATGCATGTTTTGAGGTTACTATTAGGGGGACGGTCTTTCACTGATAGCTCACTTCCCACAAAACTGTCTACTAAGCCATCAGTGTTAGCCATTTTTCTGTGTATATACAACTGGGATAATAAAGTATGACCTGTACTAAATCCAATTTCTTGTTTTCTTCTCTGGCTCCAAAAGTTTCAACTTTTTTTACAAGAAGGGAGCAGTGCATGGAAAACAACAAATACCCAGGTTGGTGAATTATTTTTCTGTTTTTCCAAATCCTGAAGAATCTATGTGAAAGTATGAGAAACCAGTTTTAATTCATGGACATAAAAAAGTTAAAAACATGACATATACATTTCTGTATTACATATAGACAATAACATACAGGTGTATGAATTAATGATTCACAATTTTTGACACTTATTTTGATCAAATAAAGATCATGTCAATCTTTATACTTACATAACCCAATCCTGTCAATTTAAAATTGAATACATTTTGACTGATAGCCAATGAAATTGTAGGTATACAATTTATTAAATAAAATACTGCAATACAAAGAGATGTATAATTTAATATTCACAATTACACTTGTACATTTCCAAAACTCTGCCACGTCTACACTGCCAAAAATACTCCTGAAACACCTTAATATGGTCAACCAAAAATCCTATCAAATCTTTATACCAACAAAAAACTAACATTATTTAATTTAAAACAGAATATATTTTGTTCCATAACAGTTAAATCAAATTATAGGTATAAAAATTATCAATTAAAATATTTCAGACCAGCTGAATTAAAGGCTTAGTCACATATACTGTAAACTATAAAAAAAAAATGATATAGAGCTGGCCAATTAACTGATTACTATGAGCATCAATTAAGTTTATTAGTGTCAGAAAAATAATTGATTATTCAAATTTATGATTAAAGTAATCAAACTTAGCGTTTCAAATTATTTCAACTATCCAAGTGATCAAAATATCGAGATTATGATTTCTTATCTTTATTTTTGATTAATTCAAGGTTGTTCAACTGAATTGATTAGTGTCACAACTCAAACTAAATAATTAAAATTAGTATTTTCAACTATTACAATTATCTTTGATTATTCCAACTATCCAATTCTCATGCGAGAAAAACTGATTTGTTGAATGTAATCAATTAACATATTCATTGCTGAGGATGCAAATGTGTACTTTTAGCACTCATTTGCATGTGCTCATGACACGTGTGCATCTCAACTAGTTGATATTCCCGATCATCATTTTAAACGCCCATTGACAGCAGCACACTGTATGGTAGTGAGCATTATGCATAGGTGTCGTACTTCATATTTTCATGTATATATGAGTGGAATTGACAGGCATGATAAGATGTTATTGTATTAACTCTGCTCGAGAAAAACCATAAGATGGTATAAGAAAATTTGTATTCATATTACAAGTGACTCTGCTAAATTCCTGTTATTTGTATAATTAATATTCTGGGAACAAAATGACACTGTGTGACTTTTGTCTGGCAGTGATATAGGAGCTTTTACAACCTGCAGTTATAAGTAAATCACCAAAAGCTAAAGATAATGAATATTAGCCAAAAAACTGCAAAATTGGTCCAAGCAGTAAAATGATGAGAAAAAAGTGCAGATTATGCAGTGAAAAGGGAAAATGCAAGATTCAATTTATGACTGTGAAGTGTGTCCAGAATAACCTAGACTCTGTTGGATATATATGCTTGAAACTGCACCACACAAAATGTTGATGTAATCATCATGTGATGTGTGTTTATATCATGATAAAAACAAGTTTCAATTGATTCTGTCTTTTTCATTGAAAATGATTTTTCCAGAAGTATTATCTAAATCAATTTCTAGATGCACATGTGCATCATAAATATATATTAACAAAAAGTAAAAACATAAATTTAAGTTGAAAACACAATGATTTTGCACTAAAACTAGTATCAGCACCTGCCACAGGTGATGTCTAGCATTGCAACATTTAACGTGTTAATGAGCCTGAAGATTAATTTGTTAGCAAGTTCCAGTAATTATCCAGCCCTAATAATAATAAATCCACTCACTAAAGCTTTCAAGTATTTCTAAAAAAAAACTACATTATAAATACAAATGAAAACATTTTTTTAAAAACAGACTGACAAAAACAACCAGATAATAAGAATCTGCATGAAACCAACATTTATAAAAAATAATTCTGCATTGTAATAATGAACTTGAAGTCGTTCAATTTGTGTTAGGCCTAATTTGTATTCAAGTGTTATGTACCTTTTCATGGTTCATGTTTTGAAGGTTTCTGAGCTTAAATGATGATAAACAAGCATTTCAGTTATTACTTATATCAACTTTAACCTGAACAAAATGCTTTACATCTATTACAACTATGAATTGTTTTCTACAGCTAAAACTAAGGTCTGTCCAAGGTCATACCTTTAATATTTAGAAAAGTATCAGGTCTAGTTTGATATTTATCATTCAAATATTTTGTTAAAAGTTTTTATGGAAATGTTTAGAATGCCCCCTAAATAAACATAATAATACAATTACATACCAGATTACTTAATACAATAGTATAAAACCTGTAGTAATTAAGGCTGAGGATATAACTTTGAGATTAACAATGAATGGAAAAAGACATTCTTAAGTTAAGGGCATAACACTAAAAAAACAACAACATTATGTTATATTTAATTATACAGATAATCTGCCAACAGTATGAAAGATGACATCATATGTTCTTGTACAGTTTTGAAAACTCTTTCAATGGTAAATTTTAAGCATTTTGTTAGAATACTGGGCATATCATAATTGTTAGATTAGGTTGTACCATTACTTCATATGCTAAAAGTTAATTTAATCCATTACTAACTCTTAACATAACATAGTGTTTTGGGACAACATGGGACCTATTGGTCCATCTCGGCTGTTCCATCCTCTAAACTAAATTAAAATAATTTTTAAAAAATCTTAAAGCCAGCCCTTATCATTCATATACTTATCAAGCCTTTCCTGAAACTCACCTAAATCTACTGCCTCTACAACATCTGAAGGCAACCCATTCCAAAGGCCACCACCCAGTTAGAAAAATGAAACTGTCTTAGCTGAAGATGACTCTTACCTTGCCAAAATTTACATGTGTTCCCAAGTCCTACCATTCTCAAGTATGAAAAAAAGATGATGCATCAACACTATCAATTCCCTTTACAATCTTTAACATCTCAATCAGATCCTCCCTAACTCTTCTTTTTTCAAGAGAAAACAATTTGAAAGATTTCAATCTCTCCTCAAATGACAACCCTTCAATCCCAGGCACCATTCAAGTAACCTTCTCTGAACCCTTTCCAACAATTCCATGTCTTTCCTATGGTAAGGAACCCAAGACTGAATACAGTATTCCAAATGTGGCCTAACCAGTGACATGTACAAAGAAATTATAACCTTTTTAGAATTGTATTCAATATTTCTGTAGATACAACCTAAAATCCTATTTGCCCTACCACTAGCAACAGCACACTGCTTGGATGGCTTTATAGACTGATCGACTATTACACCATAATCCCTTTCCTTCGTAAAACAATTAAGGTTATTCCCATCCAAATTATACTTATAATTCAAATTATGATAACCCACATGCATCATCTTACATTTATTATAATTGAAACCCATCTGCCATTTATTTGCTCAACTCACTAAATGATCTAAACCCATTTGTATATCAGCAGCATCTCTTCACAGCTAGCAACACCAAAGACCTTAATAGCATCTGCAAATTTAAATAATTTATTGATTATTCCTTCATCTATGTCATTGATGTAAATCAAAAAGAGCAAAGATCCCAAGACTGAGCTCTGAGGTACCCTACTTGTAACATTAATCCAGTTTGACTGAACTTGTGACATTTGTAACAACTCTCTGCTTTCTTTCATCCAGCTACTCTTCTATCCAATTTGCTAACTTATCCCCCACATCTATAGAGCTAATTTGTTTTTACAAACCTTTTATGTGGCACCTTGTCAAATGCTTTCTGAAAATCCAGATACATCAAATTTACACCCTTACCCTCATCTACATAAGCAGTAACCTTTTCAAAGAATGTTAAAACATTTGTAAGACAATATTTTCCTTTAGTGAAACCATTTTGACTATCCAATTTTTATCAACTCCCTTGAAAAGAGAGTTACATTAGCTAACTTTCAATCCTCTGGTACCTGCCCACTATCCAAGGACTGACAAAAAATAGTAGTAGGTGGCTCACATATCCAATCTTTAACCTCCTTCAAAACCCTGGGGGAAATATTATCTAGCCCAGGAGCTTTATTGTTTTTTTAAACTTCACAATTTTTTCTTAACCAGCTCAGAATTGATGCAGTCATCTAATTCAATCTTGTTTCCATCTATCAACTGTTCAAGATAGGGAATATTGTTTAAATCTTTGTTAGTAAAAACCAAAGAAAAGCAAAATTTAATAACCCAGCCACCTCAATCATCAGATACTAACCTTCCTATATCATCCTTCAAGGGTCTTCCTTCCCATCCTATTAAATAGCCTGTAACCCCGTATTTCAAAGAAATTTCTGTCATCAAAAATCATCTACATTTAACCATGTTTCAGTTATTCCCATCACATCAAAATCCTCAATTCCTACCAGTGCTCTAAAGTCATCTATCTTATTTCTTATACTTATAGCATTACAATAGTAACAATTAAGCCTATCCTTATAACTACATCTATACTCATTTCCTATGCTAAACTTTTCTCTACCTCTTATTCTTTTCACATTTAGTTTTTCCTGGCACTCACCACTATTTAGTCCTAGTTTAAAACTTCCCTTACAGCTGAGTTAATAGCCTTATAAAACAAGCCAGCCCCTACTCTATTTAAATGTAAACCATCCATTCCAAAAAGCTACCTTCTTCCACTGAACTGATCCCACAAGTCTAACCAGCCAATTTGCTCATCCTTACATACTAACCTAAGCCTAGCATTTAGCCCTAGTGATCTACTTATAACTTCATCCCCACAATTAATTCTGGGCAGTATCCCTGACAAAATTAAGTTATGGCCCTTTTCTTTAAATGCTTTTATCAACCCCTCGTACTTATTAATTAGCTCCTCTGACCTACATTTCCCTACATCATTAGCCCCTATATGCACCACAGAAACTGCATCTCTGCTAGTATTATATCTCCTGCTCTGTCAGTTATATCCTCCACCTGTGCCCCTGGGTAGCATAATTGGATTCATTTCTCCCTATTTACCACATAGAC